ACATTTAATGTAGTGGATGAGAATCTGGGCTCTGCCCACCAGGCTCCTTTTACTTATTTCCTGCCTCCACCTTTAGCTATCTATGACCATGGCAAGTCACTTTTCTTCCCTGGCACTTGGTTTCCTTATCTGTAAAAGAGACCTAGTAAAAGTACCCACGTCATAGGTTGTGCTGTTAATACACATAACGTACTTAATGTACTGCCACACAGAAGTCCTCAAGTAATGTCAGCTATTATTATCATTATTTTGTAAGTAACTGAATAGCCTTCAATAATTCAGAGCCATCAAGTACATAACTAAAGAGATTTATTTTAATAATAATCTGTTTATTTATCTAATCAATTATACAAGACAAGTTTTGCAATGATCATAGTGGGGAAAGAATAATATATCAATATGGAAGATAGAGGAGGAATAAAAATAAGTTCAGGGCCGGCCCCGTGGCTTAGCGGTTAAGTGCACGCGCTCCGCTACTGGCGGCCCGGGTTCAGATCCTGGGTGCGCACTGACGCACCGCTTCTCCGGCCATGCTGAGGCCGCGTCCCACATACAGCAACTGGAAGGATGTGCAACTATGACATACAACTATCTACTGGGGCTTTGGGGGAAAAAGGGGGAGGAGGATTGGCAATAGACGTTAGCTCAGAGCCAGTCTTCCTCAGCAAAAAGAGGAAGATTAGCATGGATGTTAGCTCACGGCTGATCTTCCTCACAAAAAATAAATAAATAAGTTCAGCACATTTGAAGCATTATTTTCTATAAGGAGTTTTTCTTTTTTAAAACCTTACTGACTATAAGAGCAAACAGAAGTGAAAGCTTAGCCATTTGGAATACAAAGGTTATATTCTTTATAAGACAGTCAACATGTCATAATTTTATTATTTATGAAGATTTGAGCATGTGTGTGTGGTAAGGGGAGAGAAGGGCTATTATGGATCAACGGAGCAGAAGGCAGACAGAAATTCTGGATTCTTTGCTAAGTGCAACCAGAGAAAGTTTCTACTTTATTCCAGGGCCCAGGATCTTCTTTGACTCAAGAGCCACAACCAAAGATCTCCCATATGTACTGATTCCACTGAAACTGTGGTCCTAGATTAACCACATCTCAGACTCCTAATGCCATTTTCAACTATTTACCTGGAGATTTTGTTTCTACCCTCTGAGAACTCACAATTTATACTCACTTATGTTGGGTAGAGAGATAACTGGTGACTTTTTTCTCCTCTTTCCAAATTATCTGAACTCTGTTCTGTTTACTTTTATGATTAAAAACTGATTTATAAAAATCTTAAAACATAAAAAGTAATATTTTAAAGAAAAACAAAAAAGTCTTATCTCCACCACTTTCCAGCTCTGTAACCTTGAACGACCCACTTAACTTCTTTAAGTTTGTTTCCTCATCTGTAAGATGGGGATAGTCAAGGCTGCTGGTACTATTTTATAAGGTAGTTATAAAAATCAGGTATACTCATGGAAATAAAAGTATAAGCATTTATATATCTTGAGGCATTAGTATAATTCTCCAGGGAGTATCAAACTGCCCAGCCTCATCTGATAAGAACCACATATACACTTATACTTTCTGATCTGGCAAAGTTTCTCTGCACTTTGCTCATAATCTGATGACCTACTATTACCATATCTGATTCATGAGACCTGTTGATTACAAGACACAGAGGGTATTTTTATGACATGTTAAAATGAATAAAAGTCTACAAAACCAACATATGATAATGCTGTACTTCTGAATTCTTCTCAAGTTTTCTTTACATTTTCACCTGGCTTCCTCTACTTAATAAAATCAATTATTTAAAATAATTATGCACCCAATTGAATAGTTATTAACATTTTAGAACTGTCCAAAAGCATCTCTAATACGAACTTATTTTAAATCCACCTTTATGTAATAAAGGCTCAATAGTAATCAGTTTTTCAACTAAGGATAATGGGCCTTGTCAATGCTGATGTAAGTCGAAAATGTTACAGTAGCTACCTAGGAAACTAGTAGATGACTTAGAAGGTAGCAACTGTGAGGGAGGGACATTTCCTCCCACTCCTCAGACTTCCTTGAGGGCGACTCGTCTGAATTAACACTCCTGGACTCTCTCCTCTCTTTTCACTCCTCCTCTGGGAGAAGAGTTATCTGATTGGTGAGTTGGAAAAAAAAACTGGGCATGAGTGGCCCAGCCCTCTCTTGTAGAGAGAGGAGGTGCATAATTGTTCTCCGCAATGCAGTGAGCTCAGTAGGGCAGGCTCTACTCCACCACCAACACCATCCTCACAAGGGAAGCTTACAATTCAGGGCCTAAATTTCATTCAGGGTATGTCAAAAACCCATTTCTCCATGCATCTAAGCTGCATCCTCTAATATAGTCTTGAAGAATAATAAAGCTGAGAGCTTGATCTGTATAGATCAAACCAATAACTCAACTGGCTCTAGATTTAGGCCACAAAGAGACAGTTCTTTCAAAGCAAGAACTAAGCACTTAAGATTTGTAGGCACAGAATATTAGCGGGACAAGACTTTACTCTTCAGAGACATTTACCTTTACTACTGTGTGTGGGAGTATCCAAGGTTCTTTTCCAAGCAAATCCAAGATCTATCTGTACTGAGGACTCCAGATCTCCCTGCCCTCAAGAGCTCAAGGCCAACGTGCCTCAGGTCTGTTCTGTGTGGAGTCCATGGGCTCAGAAGGACCTATGGCTGGTCAACCAGACTGCAGAGACTCCTGGTACAACTTCTCCTTAACTACCCAAGGGAGAGGAGGCACCCAATAAGTTCACAATCTATGGTGGGCTGTGTTGGACAGTAAGATTTTTAGGCAAGTCACTTAACCTCTCCAAGTCTCTGTTCCTCATCTATAAAAAGGATATGAGGAGATGACAATACCTACTCAACGGGTATTAACACTGCTGTTATCAGGAGCACAAAAGACAATACAAGGTAAAAATACTACTAAATAATGCACTAAAAGGAATGAGGTAAATACTATTATTTTTGAAAAGCATAAAAGTGGTTAGTCTCTCTTCACGTGAATTATGTGCTCATTCTTCAGACCCAAATAGGAAAGCAGAGTTCTGGACCAGAGCCACCCCTATGGTGCCACAATGCTTCACGTCATGTCTATTTTAGTAGATCTCTTAATTAACAGGAAGAGCGGGATCACTCTTAATCACTTAGTCTACAAAGCCAGAACATGATACATCAAATTCTTTTAAATTACTTGTGCTTTAATGCCTTTGCCTCCTATCCTGATTTGTTAATAAGTACAATTATAACAAGTTGCTGTTTACTATCTCATTGGTATGGTAGTAATTTAGCATTGCCCAATAGTCTCTAATAAGGTTAAATTATTTTGAAATGGTTTCTGTTTGGTAAAGACTGGTAACTACCCCTAGTTTATCCTACTAGTGAAGATGCTGGACAACCATAAGCAACAAAACAGAAGTTCCTTGGGCTAATATCTAATGAGTTAAGAAGAAGCAAGAAGAAAGAATAAGATGTGACTACAGCGAGAAGGTGAGATGCAGACAGAAACCTTGCCTCAGCTTTCCTGAGCTCAGTCCAGAGTCTTCCTTCTTAAACTAGGAGGGATCTTCCCAAGAGGGGATGGTATAGATGTCTTAAACCACAGGAATAATGTACCTAGCACACTTCTAAGACAAAGAAGGAAGTCAAAGAAAGCTGGGTTGAAGTCTATATAACGATGTCTGGGCCTTCTTTTTTTCTATTTTTCTTTAATTGTAGGAGAATACACATAACATAAAAATTACCATCTTAACCATTTTTAAGTGTACAGTTCAGTAAGTTAAGTAAATTTACATAGTTGTGCAACCAATCTCCAGGGCTTTTTCATCTTGCAAAACTGAAACCCTATACCCATTAAACAATAACTCCCTCTATCCTGCATTCTTTACTAACCAATCCAAGAGAGGGTCTCCTCTTCTCTCACAAGCCCCTAGTCAAAATCTGGCCATAAGCTTAATGATTTAGCCATTTGAAAACCTCATCCACTAAGCAGTCTCTGGAACTCAGCCTCTTAGGTGACCAGAACTCCCTGTGTAACTCTGGGATACTCCAATGCCAACTTTCATTAAATAAGTTACCAATGGTCTGTGCCCACACTGAGCTGACAATCTAGGCTTGGTAAGTGAAGTATAAAAAAGTCTATAAAAGGTTTGCTCTCCATTCCTTTAATCCTGAGACTCTAAACCCCTGTTCTGATTCCTGCTTTTGACAAATTTCTCAAGTAGATCAAGACGACAAAATATACTTAGAGACTTTAAAGTGGGTAACCTTGTCATCATTCCATTTCCCATGGAAAAATACGTGTCTGAAGACCAAATAGGTCTCTCAACTCTAATAAAGAGATATGGGAAGAGGAGGAAATGATGGGAAAGTTCTGGGCCAGAGTGGAAAGTCTTTCCTCATTTTTCCAAAAATGATCTTCACATAGCTTCTTCTACAACTAGTGTGTCAACAGATTCGAAGTGATGAACACGAAACTTACAAATGTCTGAAACTTTGTGACTGGTGACTGGTAAGGACACCAGGTATAAATTCAAACTCAGAATTTCAGATTTGCAAGGCATCTTAGCCATGTACTTCTCCAGACATCAGGATCCTTATATGGGAAGACTCTCTCCCGGCCCTTTCAAGTTGAAGTACAATCAAAAGAAATCATGAATTGTCAAAACATTTTCTAAGACTAAACAAACGAGAGAGATTATAACCAGGGAGGCAAACGGGTTTGTTAAATGTGCACCGGCCTGGAAATGAGACGATGGAGCATCAAGCTGCAATTTGACCACTGCCTGGCTGTGCACCTTAGGTATGTCACTTGACATCCACGATCGCTCGTTTGTTAAATACCCGCCAAAACTCCCTCCTTAACTGCCTCACAACTTTGTGTTGAGGAGCAAATAAATTAGGTATCTGTGGAGGGAGGGGGAACACGAGGAGTAACACATTCTGTGCAATCTAACTACCTACATACTTGTTCAAGTCTGAAGCTTCGCTCCACTTTGCTGGTGTCCTTTGAGGCTGCTCCACAATACATTTATAAGTGCTTGTTTTTACAAATGCCTTAGAAGACCTGTTGATTAAAAGGCAGAGTAGGAATTTTTATTGTTTAAATTTTTAAAAGAAAAAGACTATGAAACTTGCAAATGCTAATACTATACTTAAATATACCTCTAAATTTCTTACGTTCCCCCTCCATTTCTTCCTTTATATATCTTTAACGTCTTCCCATCTGACCCTTTCCTAACTCAGAAACTCGCACAAATCTCACTCACTTCTATTTAAAGCAAAAACAACAAAAAAGATAACTTCCCCTCAATCTTGTTATTCTCTCCTAACACAACTTCTCCCACTCACTCCTTCTCATCATAGGCAAGAGCTTCAAAGACGAGTTGACACCTTCCCTACATCCCCATCTCCCATTCATCTTCAGCCACCCCAGCCCGGCTCCTGCCCCAACTCCCTTGAAACCCTCTAAGCTAAAGGTCCCTGATGACCTAATGACAAAATGCAAAGGATACTTTTTAGCCTATATCCATGCAGACCTCTTTGCCAGACTCAGCTCTGTGGACCAGATTCCAGAACTTGCCCCCTCCCCTAAACCCCTTGCCATCTTGCAGGCACCATCTCATGGAGTCTTCCTCTCTCACACATCTCCACAGCACTTGCTTGAACTCTCAATCCCTCAGCCGTCCCGTCAACATCTGTGTTCCAGAAGGTTTCTTCCTCCGTTCTCTTCTCATTTGTTGCACTCTCTCTCGGAAATAGCATTTTCGATTCACAACTTCAACAACTACATATATGCTGAAGAGTCCCAGTGTACAGATCCAGCCCAGAGCTCTCTAAAGATCACACTCTTTATTTATTGCTACTTTCAGTAGTATTTTTTTTTACTTATTTTATTACAGCTTTCAAACTGAGCATTATTAATGTGGATGCAGTAGTTACCAAGGAAACTATCAGATGAGTTAGAGAATAACTCTGAGGGGGGAACACATGTTTCTGAAGCTCAGATTTCCATGAGCAGGGACATATGGAATAAAATAGTAATGCAGCAAATCAATGCCTTCAGATCCTTAAAGTTATTTTCAACTTGATCTCCATTCCTTAATCCTTATATTACTGCACCCCTTCCAAATATTGTGAGGATGAGCCCTAAGACAAACTGCCAAGTCCATGAGTGTTATGAACACACTCATAGATAGCTCAAATTTCAAATGCAAAATCCAAAATGTTAAAGATCTGCTGTATAATTTAAAGTTTAGGGGCCAGCCCCATGGCGTAGCAGTTAAGTGCGCGCTCCGCTGCTGGCGGCCCAGGTTCGATCTGGGCACGCACCGATGCACCGCTTGTCAGGCCATGCTGTAGCGGTGTCCCACATAAAGTGGAGGAAGATGGGCATGGATGTTAGCTCAGGGCCAGTCTTCCTCAGCAAAAAAAGAGGAGGATTGGCGTGGATGTTAGCTCAGGGCTGATCTTCCTCCAAAAAAAAAAAAGAAATATAAAGTTTAATAAACCTGTAAGGATAGATGGAAAGCACTTTCTCATGGTATTAAAAAATAGCTTTAACAGAATTACTTTAGTAACTGACAAAGGAACTACCTACACGTTCAAAAGAAACAACTGGTTAAATTAATTTTAGAAGCGGTGGGGAAGGAACAGTACTTACCAATTAAATGTGATATTATAAAAAGTATTTAATGGAAAGAAAAAATGTCACGATATATTAAGTTTTAGATAGGTTACTAAGGGGCTGGCCCCATGGCTTAGCAGTTAAGTGGGTGCGCTCCACTACTGGCAGCCTCAGTTCGGATCCTGGGCGTGCACCAATGCACTGCTTGTCCGGCCATGCTGAGGCGGCATCCCACATACAGCAACTAGAAGGATGTGCAACTATGACATACAACTATCTACTGGGGCTTTGGGGGAAAAAAAAAGGAGGAGGATTGGCAATAGATGTTAGCTCAGGGCCGGTCTTCCTCAGCAAAAAGAGGAGGATTGGCATGGATGTTAGCTCAGGGCTGATCTTCCTCACAAAAAAAATAAAATAAAAAATAAAATAAAAAATAAAAAAAAGTCACTAAGTAGTATATTTAATATGATCCCAATTAAGCAAAAAAAATTAATATCTCTATATATGAAGAGAAAAAGAAAGGATACACACCAAAAAAATAGTTATGGTGATGGTAATACATATTTTGTTCTCTCTTTTGTGCTTTTCCATATTTCCTGAATTTTCTACAATGAATGTTTCTTAAAATGCACTTTCAAGCCAAGGTTATGAGAAGAATATAAGTAGAAAAATAATCATAATACAATATTCAATGAAAACCCTATGGTTACATCCTTTTTGAGAAGGAAGGCTAGGAAAAAGACTGGAATGAAAGACACCAAAATTCTAACAGTCTGGATTAAAGTGGTCATAATTAGGGTTGATGTTTCTCCTTTGCTCCATTTTCCCTGATGCTTGGCAATGTGGTTATATTATTTTATAATAAAATTAATAGTTAAAAAATTTTTAAATGAAAAAGACTCAAAAGGGAGCTGTGCCCCAAAAGTTGAATTTAGTTTTGTCTCTGCTTTTATGTAACAGTGCTACCTATTCACTGGTTGCCTTAGCAGCTCTCAGTCTCCTCCCTTAATCTGTAAATTGGGCACCACACCTACTCAGGCCTCTCCCCATTCGATTGGGTTAGTAAAACACAAAGCCCTGTCCTAACATTAACATTACAATTCAGCGAAGGGTTGGACTGGTTCCCAAGAAGGCCCACACCCTCTTCCTGACCTGCTCACATTAGATGAACTGTGCTGTCCAGATGCCTGTTTTACATCAAATGATGAAAAGTAGTGGCTGCTTGTAGCCATATCCGCACGAGAAGACCTGTTAATAAAAAAGACAGAGTGAGGTTTCTATTTCTTTGTCTTACAGGAAAAGTCTACATAAATCCAAGTACGTAACACAAGCCCTTCAATTATTTAGTATATCTCACCTCCATTTCTTAGCAATTTTAAAAATCAAGTAACAAAAATCTACTCAGTTACGTGGTGACCACTCCTAAAATACAGCCCCAATAAAAAACTTATTTTTCTTTTTATTGTAAGACACAAAAAAAATTAATTGAAATCACCTCCCAAGGCTCTCCACTCAAAGATTGCATTGTATCTTGCATATATCCTTCCAGATCTTTTCGCAAGTAAATCTATACATCTATTTTTATATTTTATTAAAGTGGAATATTATTGTAAGGGAGGAAAAAGTTTTCCTCAACCCTCTTTGGATCCCTGGCTGGGTCTGAAAACTAAACTGACACAGACAGATCAACAGGAGAGAAGCATATAAATTTTATGGAAGTTTTACACGAGCCTTCACACGTGCATGGAGGCTTGAAGAAGTGACCAGAGCAGGAAGCTTTTACACATTTAGACACAGGAACAATAAATTAGTGAAGAACTGACAAGACAAAGGGGTTGGGCCATGGGTAGTAAATGGCGAAGTGGTAACTAGGAAGGTAAGAGTTAATTTAACAAGGTTTCTTTGCAGATTCTCTATGCTGATAAGAATCTGTCTCCAGTCAAAGGAGAATTTATTTCCTGCCTTTAGATAGAAAAGGGGGAATTTTTTCAGCATTTACCGCTTTATTGGATTCAGCTTGTTAAAAACAAACAAATAGCAGGTCCAAAATGGAGTCACTTGCCTCAGGACAACAAAACAAGACCTAATAGCTAACCTAATTGCAGTTTCTGCCTCTCCCAGGAATGTGACCTTTAACCAGTCAATCTGGAATTATCTGATCAGCACCCCTGAGGTGGTAATCTGCATGATGGACTCCCACCCTTCCCCCAAAGGAAGAGACTTTGCCTGAAAAGACCCACTTTGTTAGAAACTTTCTTTTTCTGCCCCCTCTGCCTACAAAAGTCTTCCATTTTGTACAGCGCCTTGGCGCTCCTTTCTTTCTTCTTGCTGGATGGGATGCTACGCAATTCACAAATCGTGGAATAAAGCCAATTAGATGTTCAAATTTACTCAGCTGAACTTTGTTTTTTAACACGCTCCAAATAATTTTTATGTCAGAGGCATATTTTGGGGTGATATAGCCTGGTTTCCTTCACTATACACTTAATTTACCCAGAATCTTCTCTTCTCAATAAATACAGAGTTGCTTTACCATAGTTACTGTCTGCACAGCATTCTGTTCAATGCAAGTGGCATAATTTGTTACCTGTCCCTCATTTTGGGCCATGTAGGTTGCTCCCAATATTTCACAATTACAAACAATACTTAATAAGCCCCTTTACTCACCTGCCTGATTATTTCCTAAGGATAAATTCTTGAGTTAAAGGGCACATATTTTGTAAAGTACTTTATTTTTAACAAACCGCTGCTTCATTTCCCATTATATATACACCACAGAATGCTGAAGTAACGTAGAGGGGGTGGACAATGATTTGGTTTGCAGAATGTTAGGCCACTTTATTGACCCAAAGCTACCTCCACAAATACACATCGAGGCAGGTCCACTCAAGAGAAGGAAAATTCCAGAGAGTTTAAGTCCTGCCATGTATTGTACTAGAATCGCCATTCACCTTAACTGTGCACAGGCCATAAAGAAGAGAGGAAAGGAGTACTGACTATCCCTTGAGGGAAGCTTTTTTTTTTTTAATTCTATGATGTACAATGCCCTCAATTAAGCAGAATTTGATTATATCCCAACTTTCAGATTTCCTAATACTCTGTACTATTTTATATTCAACATTCACCTTATCTTGAACATATCGAGTTTCCTAAATTATATACATCAGGTTAAGAGAAAATCAATGTTCTTCTTACCGGGTGGTTGGGTGTGGGGTGGTAGAAGGGAAGAAAACTCCACAAATAAAGGAAAATGTAGCTTGAAGGCAGGTTATTTCCCATCACAAGAACTTTTTACCCAGAACAGAGGAAGCACTAAGCACTTATATAAACCAGACTCTAGGGCAGCGGCTGTCATCTCTGTTTACAAGTAAAGAAAGAGGAAAAGACAGATTCAAAAGGCTTTCTGCCGTTTTGGACCATTCTTGCCCATCTGTCCTCTTACAGATTCATTTATAAAGGCTAAAAAATCATGGTCTCTGAAATGTACTGTAAAAATGTTTCCCCATTTCTCATTTGCCTTTAGCTTTAATTATAAAATTCTCCCCAATACTGAAATCTTTATCTAATCAAAACTAATCACTTTCCTTTAACATTTCTGATTTTGAGGGCATACTTAGAAAAACCTTCCCTTCACAAAGATTATATAACATAATTTTACCAGTGCTGTTACTTTTTAATTTTTAATTTCTTGATCCATTTATAATTTGCGTATATGGTATGAAATAGTGCTGTGCAGTTTTTTCTTAATCTTTTGCCATTTTTCCCAAGATAATTTTTAAAAGACCACATCTTTCCCCCAATGATTTGACATACTATATACATAAAACACTAAAATTTATTAAGTTCTGCTAAAATCAAGTCTGTGGTACCAGATAAATGCTGCATGTTTCAAAGCTACAATTATAGTATCTTTACCAGGCACAATAGCCTTGGATTTAGCAGAACTTAATAAGTATTAATAAAATAATATTAGATTTTCTTCATTTTTTTCTGAACTATAAAAGCTTAGGTTAGATCCTTCTAGTCCTTTATACTTTTATACACATGTACATGAAGTCCCAGAAATTCTATAGTATTTTAAAATTTATATTAATATCACAATAAGTATATCATGCTGTGAACCAATTTTTTATTCAACCGTATTTTTTGATACACATCTAATTTACTTATTTAAACTACCTAGTATTTCATCAAGAACCTATTTTCTCATTTTTTAATGAGAAATGTTTCAAATACATAGAGAAAATAATGTAAATAAATAAATAATATAAAATAATATAACACAACTATATCTGGAATCCATTTTGTGTACAGTGTGAGCTAAATTTAATTGTTTCCCATATGGATAGGCAATTATCCCAACACCAGTGAATAACTCATCCTTCAGCTACTCATTAGCTTGGAACTAAGACAAACGGAAGACTACATGACCTCTCAATGTCACCCTGGAGCACTGTAACAGGCCCACCCAAGGAATATTTCATTCTCTAGGGGATATCCCTTTGTTTGATTTGCTATTTACTACTGATTAAGGTCTATATTCTGTAAAATATTATGTTAACTTGTAGATTTTTTGTCTAGTAAATGTGCAAATAATTTGTCTGGTAAGGTTATAGTTTAATTGCCACGTAGGAGATAAACCAGTTTTGCATATAACAAATCTCATTCCAACATTCTTTCTTCAGTTCCCCAATTGCTCTTGGAACCAGCTGTACCATCTTGCTGATTTCGTCACTGATAAATAAATCTTTGACTTGTCCTCATTCTATAATTTTTATACTTTGACACACCGAATAACACTGCAATCTCTAACACAGGGCAAGTTTCCACATGTGCACAGGTCTGTTTCCAGGCACTCTTTTGTTCCATTCATATATTTGCCTCTCTCTGCACCAGTCACATTATTTTCATATCATGGCTTTCTTATACACTACATGCCAATGGGGTAAGTCCTCTATTAAATGCTCTTTTTTTTGGTGGTGGAGGAGAATGCTATTATTACAACTTCATTCTTATTTATGAATTTTAGAATTAGTTATTGTAAAGTTACAAGAAAAGTCCTACCATGGTTTTAACTGAGACTTCATTACATTTTTAGAGAATTTTGCAAAATGTCTTTACAATATTACATTTTCACATCCATACACATTTATTCAGGTCTTCTCTTATTTCCTTCAATCAAGTTTTTTAATATATGGAACACTGCACTGAGATACATGTAAGCTTGCAAAAAAGCCATGCTAAATATTCCTTATATTGCTTTGATTTTAGAATTTGTATCACCAAGTAAGCACAGTTACTAAAAATTTAACTGAATAGAATGACTTGCCTATTCCACTCCTGAGCATAACCTAGATGTTATAACCAGATGTTAGAAGAAATGTATTTTTAGCTAGTGAAACATATTGTTATTGGGTTGATAGAGGCTAAAAAAAACAACACGTCATATTCCAATTACAGGTTTAGTATGTTGGAAAAATATGTCCTTACTTTGTTTTTACCACTCTAATTTTTTTTAAGTTTTTAAAAAGCCTTATTGAGATACAATTCACAGTCTATACAATTCACCCATTTAAAGTATATAATCGATGCTTTTTAGTATATTCATAGAGGTGTGCAACTGTCACCACAATCTGATATTGCAATATTTTGTCACCCACAAGAAACCCTGTATCCGTCCATTAGCAGTCACTCCCCATTTCCCCCTCCACCTCTAGTCCTAGGCAACCACTAATCCACTTTCTGTATGTACAGATTTGCCTATTCTGGACATTTCATATTAATGGAATTATACAATATGGGGTCTTTTATGTTTGGCTTTTTTCACTCAGCGTAATGTTTTCAAATTTCATTCGTGTTGTTGCATGTATCAGTACTTTATTCCTTTTTATTGACAAATAATATTCCATTGTATGCATATAACACATTTTGTTTATCATTTCATTAGTTGATGGATATACGGGTTATTTCCACTTTGGGGCTATTACGAATAATGCTGCTGTTAACATTCACGTACAAGTTCTTGTGTGGACATATATTTCATTTCTCTTGGGTATATACCTAGAAGTGGAATTGCCAAGTCATATGGCAACTCTATGTTTGACATTTTGAAGAACAGCCAGACCATTTTCCAAAATGGCTGATGATTTCACATTCTTACCAGTAATGTATGAGAGTTCCAATTTCTCCATATCTTGGCCAGCACTTATTATCATCCATCTTAGTGGGTGTGATGGTATCTCACTGTG